CGATGTTCTGCAGAACATCCCGATGACACAACTGGCGCAAAGCTTGGCAGAGAAGAGTAAGCTGCTCCTTGCGCAGGCTTGAAGCTGTATGTACCTGGGTGGTTTCTAGTATTTGCTTCCCGCTATATCAATCTTCGTTCCTGCCCAGGTGATTTTCGTGATGCTTGCTGACAACGAAGGACGAAGCAGCCACGCAAGCGGCTTAGCCACATCTTCTGATTGGGGCGATGGTTGATCATAACGTCATGGACTCGTGGAACCCTTTGGTCGTCACCAATGCTGGGCCGCGGATTCGAGCTTGATTGATGTGCGAGCTACGATGATGCCCGATCATTCAATACAAGATGTATCCAACGGTACATAAGTTTACCTGCCGCTCCACCTCGCAGATCTACTTGCCCGGCTTTCTTTCCCGATCGACCAGTATAGCCATTGCACTAGTTCATCGTCGGACTTTACTACCAACATGTCGGGCAACGTAGTCGATCCTGAGGCACGCGACAAGTACCTCCTGCAAGGTATGCGACAATCGGTTGAAGTGATCTTGCAAAGCGCTGATAAGTTTCAGTTACCGCCGGACCATCCTACGATGCCTCAAAACACGAACAAGTATCAGTCAACGGCGCTGAACCCACACACGTCGAGAGCGACCTGGTAGAAGCATGGATCCGCGTCCGAATCAAAGACTACCACGGCCTACCTCGTGGTTCGCCAGCTTCATCGTCTTACTTTGATCACCCACAGCATACCTCTGATAGATATTCCATCGCCTACTCATTCGTTCCCAAGCAGAACATGTCCGGCTCCGATCTTGTCATGGGCTTCGATTACGGCCACTCGATCAAGCATCAGCTTCCACCAGGATTCAGGTACGCAATGAAGATAGCCACGAGTATGCTGGATCCCGGGCTTTACTCAGATGCATACTCCGATGAGCCGTATCTCTACGGACCCGCACTATCAAGTTTCTTTGCCTTTCGCATTGGTGATCGGACGAGCGATGTATCAGCACAAGATCAACTCGCAAGTCTCAGTCAAGAAAGTGATGATGTGATTGAAGAAGGTGCATCCGGGAGCGGCAAAGAAGTGCGCAAGGCATCGTCCATGCCTTCGAAATGGAAGAAGCGGCGGAAGTATTATCTCGATGAACAAGCCCTTTCAGCATTTACGTTCGAAAAGGGCCGCATGTACCACGCCGACTTTTTCAATCCACATCTTGACTTTGCGAACTTCTCGCTAAGATTACCCGGGTTCTCTATCAGCGTGGCCAAGTACGTGGATGAAAAGACACACCATCTAAGATATGTACTTCGGAATCGGAAGACGGAGGAGGTACTTCTCGTAGTCTTCTTCAAATTGCTGTTTGGCAAGGAATTGGATGATACGTTGGAGAAAGAGAAGAGGAGGGAGAGTGCGCCGCCAGCTGTGGCTGTAAATGATCAACCAAAGCCAGAACGGACACGCCACGATGAGCTGACGAAAGTACGTGCTGCTGAAGAAGCTGAAAGAAGAGCTTCACAGCCTCCTCGTCGGACGGGTCATGACGAGTTGACAAAGGTTCGCGCTGCTGAGGAGGCCGAAAGACGGGCTTCGCAACCTGCACCTCGCACTGTACAAAACGATAGTACGCCATCTGCTGCAAAATCTACCCGTGAGGAAGGTTCAGCGTCTGGAACAGCCTCTCAAATCGATGGCGGGGCGCAAGAGGATCAGAGTTACATCGGCCAAGCAACGAGCGCTGCGACAAACCTTGCAAGCTCAGTGGTGGCTGTTTACGCAGCCTTGGGCTTCGGCAACTCATCATCTTCCTCGTCGGACTCCGAACCTTCAAGCAGGAGTAGTTCGGCGCAGCCAGCAAACAAGTCGATGGCAGCTGAGATCGACAAGATGGACGATGCAACGGTAGAGCAGTATTTGCGGGGTCGACACGGAAGTGTGTGATGTTCTCTCTATACGCATCGGTTCTTGGGCAATAGCTGGTTTAATTTGTAGTAATCAACATCTCAATGCTGCGTAAGTCTGTCGTCTTGATCTAACTGGTTGAATTTGAAATGAGTAGCACGCTACCTTAGTGTAATTGAGGTCGACCGTGGATCCGGATATGGGAATTCTTTAGCACCGGAGGATTATGATTGTAACTTTGTCCACGCCGTTTCACGGGCTATAGGCAACGCCACAACGCTACCGTATGCAGCGCAAGGGTTCCATGGATTTAGGTTCCGTATAGAGTGGTGATGGGTACGGATGACGGACGACTGGATGATGTTTGGCGAACAGTCTTCTCGCATATCTTCAGTTGCTCCTCAATTGAAGAGGAAGCATCGCGACGGCTTCATCTGCGGCGCGAGCAACAAGCCCTACCACTGTATGCGACGCGTGCTTCAGAACCTTGGAAGAAGACATCCCCAGAAGGGTGGTGAAAGAGTGATTTGAACCGGAGAATACATTGCGCACGCCAGTCGGAACCCAGCCTAGCAAGCACGTGCGCGCTCGGCCCCGCAAGCATCTCGAAGCCGATGAAACTCCGACCTTGTCTCCTTGACACACGCACTGCACCACCCGCCATTCCAACGGCAACAATACACGCCCTCCCAACACGCGGGCGCACTCAACCAGCAAGTGCAGTCGGGCCTAAGCATTTCGATGCGCAAGGGCTTACCCTAGCCCATCGGCAACATGCCTCCACCTGACAGATCAGCGTCTCGGAAACTTGCAGTTCCATGGCACTAGTCACGTTTTGACTCTGGCCTTGGCCCGTTCAAGCAGCCCAAAGCACGTTGCTTTCGCGCAGACACTGTTGCGGTCAGGTACGTACCTGATTCACCCGGCGTCAGTCGTCCCGCTCAGCTGCGGGTATCTGTGTTCCAGTACTCGATACCCTTGCGGCGCCCTTTTAGTGGCGCGGATTCATGCGTTGCCGGTGTGTATAGACTACCTTTATGTAGCTGAAAAAGTCCTTCATTACGCCAAATGGGCTGGCGCCTTTTGTTGTACTACCAACCTTTTCACATGATCAGCTTTTCGACCGTCTAGTGTTTGTCAAGTCGGCCCGGAGGTCAATCTCAGCAACCATGATAAGCACCTGTTTGGACCTTGCGCTTTTGTGCCATCCGGTTCTTGCTTTCCTCTCGATACAACGACCAAAGATGGCGGCCCCGATTTCGAAATGGCAGTACTTTCTTCTCAGCTTTCTTTCGCTGCTTGCTATTCGCTATGCGAGTACGACGAACGCGAGTCCTCAGGTTCCGGTCCTCCATGAAATCCAACAAGCTGTCGAGCAGGCCGTCTGTAAGACGGTTGACCAGCCAAACCCCATTGCGTCACAGTACCCAACAAATGCGACGGGAACGTTGAACGGCACGATCTCAGTCCTACCAATTTCTCTGGATCTCGCACGCAGTCTCATCCCCTCGCAATACCGCATTTTGGAGCACGCATACCGCCATCTCCTCCCTGACTTCCCGGAAGGAATGTACCCAGCCCTTCTCCAGGCAGTCCACGACCACGACGTACAAGCTTTCGGCTTTCAAATACCCGACTTCTCGGTACGATAATGCGCCTAACCTTAGATCGTGATCCGCGGTTGTAGTGCTAACTTTGACTAGCGTGGTGGCATCGAATTCCCATTTCTCGATCTCCTCGGCGACAATGCCACGTCCTTCAAGTGGACGCCATCGCTTGTTATGTCGGCTGAAAACGTCATTGCGTTGAAAGGCGCTGCGGATTACGGAATCAAGACTTACCCGTCGTTGTTCGAGCCTGCTTGCGATGCATACAGTGCGGTACCCGACGCTAAGGAACCGCGAACTACGTCTTTCGAGGCGACGAGCGCTGAGGCTGGTGCCGCATCCATTAGCACGCGGCTGTCACTTACGTCGGAAGACAAGTACCCGCTGGGTTTCTTCATGAACGTCACCAACCAGGTCATGTTCGGCGACGGCAAGCAATGCGATAATATGATCCGTCTCTTCAACACCAGCTTGACGACAAGCCCTAACAAGATCGAGACCGTAAAGGGCACCGTTAAGACCAAGGGTTTCCCATTTGAGAGCGAACAGGAGTTCGAGTGCGCGTATGGAATCAGGTTCAGTTCTGCATTCATCGAGAACAACTACCTGCCTTGCGAGAACTTTAGGAACTACGGCACTGCTTAGACGTTGATGGGGAAGATGATGTGTGGATTGCGTTTTTCTTCGGCGCGAGTACATGTTCTGAAGAAAGTACAGGATGTTGGGCGAATGCCCGCAAATAACGATACCCATTAAGCCACGGTGGCTAGCGAATACCCCCTTGGACTGTATATAGAATTCTAGAGGAATGCATTGGTGTATATATACATATCGCGTGTCTTGTCCAATGGTCTGCTTATGTATCGTGGATGAATTAGATACCTAATCTGACATACTCCATGATAAAGAGCTGACCGAAAACAATCTATACAAAAAGCCTGTGTTCGAGCTGGGCCATGTCATGAAAACGAGCATGAGAGGTGTGTCGAGGTTTGCGAATGTCCATGCCGAATATTGCGGCTGATCATCAAGCAAAGGGGACATACCCGATTGCGTCTACGACTTACCTAGTAATGAGTGCAGGCTACAAGTACAGGCTTGTAATGTAAGTTTACGAAGTCAATAAGCAATTCATATCAAGTGTGTCATGACCAAAGCCAGAATTACGAGTCACATTGCAATAACATACCGCAAAAAAATGCAACTCACCTAAGACGGTGTATGGCAGGTGGGCATGCCCAAATTCCCTAACTGGCTCAGCTGTCGCACAGTTTCCTTGACGTTGGTTAGAAGCATGTCAGGTGCATGTTGGAGAAAAGCGTACATGTTCTGATTGGACTGTCTCAAGCTCATACGCCCGAAAGGGCCTCCATAGTCGCCATTTGTTGTACAAGTACCGCCGAGTCGCGGTAGTCTTCGCATCAATACTGCTGTAAGCCGAACCTTTTGGGAATCGCATAGACACACCTTAACGCCAAATTCCGGGGATATTTACCAAGCGCCTCTTCTGCCTCCGCGACGACCTCCTCGTCCACCACGGAAGCCACCGCCACCGTATCCACCACCACCTCCTCCCCAACCTCCACCGCCGCCTCGGTCCATGTCGCCGCCGGAGGGAGCGTAGGAATTGCGGGGTGGCTGGCGGTCCTTGAGCTCCTTGGTCAGGGCTTCGTAGGACTTGCGCATCTGAGCGTAGCCGAGATGCATCTTTCCGTAGAAGTGGTCTGCTAGACGCCGATCATTGTCAAGACGGCTGAGATACGCACCACATACGTCGCAAACTTGAAGCTTCTGATGTCCAGATGGACCTCCGGTGTCTGACAGAGCCCGAAGCTCCCTCTCGCGCTCCTCCTTCTCGGCTTTCTTGTAACGGACCTTGGTGAACTCTTGGACGGCCATGTTGACCATGCCTTCCTCGCCCATGATTTGGATCTCGAGCATACCGGCGTCGATCGATTTGGTCAGTTCGTTGATCGCTTTGAGCTGTAGCGCGTGAGCAGATAGTGCAGGTCCCCTGGCCGGGATACTTACAAGAGCGTTGGTCTGCCTGATCTCTTCAGGCGTCTTCTCCAGGCGGCGCTGGGCAGTGTCTATCTTGCGATTACAGCTGTCAATGTGATGCTGCATGTCGCGCATGTAGTCAAACTCGAATCCCCATTTGCGCTTCTGTTCCGCGTCTGCCTCCTGGTACTCGGTCCGGAGCGCCTCGTTGTGCACCTTGGAACAGGGACCCAGTTCGTTCTTGGTGTTGGTGAAGAGGTCATGGGGGCAGTTGCCTACAAGGTAGGAGCGACAGACCTTGGTGTCGTTGATGTTTAGTTGGGGCGCGCGCTGGTCGGTTCCGCTCATGAGCTGTTCGCCCATAAGCTGCTCTGTGTCGCGTTAGCATGGTGATGTATTAGTAATAGTGATTTTGGGGAACCTACCAAGCAGCCTGCGCGTCTCTGCGGCGGCCATGATGTGTAGATATTAGGAATGCGCGGTTGGGTCGTGATGTGGAGAGCTGCAAGGTGAGTGACGGCCAAAAGAAATCGCGACCGCGGCAGTGCCAAGTATCCACGCCGGGTGACCAATCACCGGTGGGGCGCCTTCACTCCACATGTCCGCCGCAACCCCAACATCGAGGGCCTATCGTCAGTCTTCCCGCTCACATTTCGCGTAGAGAGCGCTACGATGCTGCGATGCTCTCGTCTTTTTACTTTGTGTTGCTCAATGCCTTGATCGCTTTCGTCTCTGCGGGCGCCGACTACAGCGAGCGCCTCCTCCTGCGACCCCTTCCCCAGAACACCCTTCTGGCCTCTTTCAACTTCCGCAGCAACGAGAGCGCGACTGCATTCGAACAACAAAACTTCCGATACTTCCCGCGATCATTTGGACAGATTCTGCAACATGCGCATACAAGGGAACTACATTTGAGGTTCAGTGTTGGAAGATGGGATGCCGAGAATTGGGGACAGCGGCCGTGGAATGGTGCAAGAGAAGGAGGGACTGGTGTTGAACTGTGGGCTTGGGTAGAGGCTGATACTGAGGAGGAGTACGTTCTCTATAGATGAGAGGAAGGATTGACGCTGATCATAGCAGAGCATTTGCACGATGGCTGAAGCTTACCAACGCCCTGTCAGGCCTCTTTTGCGCCTCGATCAACTTCATCGATGCCACCAAAACCATACGGCCCGTCATGTCGTTTGACCCCGAAGGTCAGCACCGTAACTCGTCCAACCTTCACCTCCTCCACGGCACGCTACCGCATGAAGTCGTTTGCACGGAGAACCTCACACCTTTTCTCAAGCTACTACCCTGTAAGGGTAAGGCCGGTGTATCCAGCCTGCTGGACGGACACAAGTTATTCGACGCTTCATTCCAAACCATGGCCATCGATGTACGTCCGACGTGCGAAGAGGGTAGCTCAAGCTGCTCAATAGAGATGGAGCAAAGCGTAGACATGGTCTTGGACATTGCGCGAGCCAAGCGACCCAGAGACAACCCTATCCCGCGACCTTTACCAATCAACCAGATGGAATGCGATACCTCCAAGCCATACAACGGGCACGATACCTGCTATCCCCTGAACAAGGGCACCGAGCCCGCCTGGACACTGGAGGAAGTATTTGGAAGACCGCTCAGGGGAGCCTGCCCACTCGCAGATCAGGCTGAGGGAGAAGCGAATAACGTTTGCATCAACTTGCCGCCAGAGCGCGAACTCGAGGTCAAGACAACAGGAGAGTTCACAGAGTCTAGACTAGCCTCAGACACCCTCCGATGCTACAAGCTCCCCGTCGGCGAAGACCTCGACCTCGTCCTACCCGAGCAGAAAATGAAAACCGGTCTTGTTCGTCCTGATCCTCTAGTCTTCGCAGCAAGATCCATCAACGGTCACGGCCAGGAACGCGGTAGTACACAGTCCGTCATCAAGAACCCGTCCACCACCAACGCAGTCGAGATAGTATACCTAGAGTCTCTGCCCTGGTTCATGAAGCCATACCTTCACACGCTCCAAGCCCGCGTCGACACCACAGACGAAAGCCCCATCAAAGAGACCTACTACCGACCAGCTGTCGACCGCAAACGCGGCACCCACCTCGAGCTACGCATGGTCATCTCACCAGCCTCCACCCTCACACTCACTTACGACTTCGAGAAAGCGATTCTGCGCTACACGGAATACCCACCAGATGCGAATCGAGGCTTCGACGTCGCACCTGCTGTTATCCGTGTTCTGTCGCCGCAGTCAGGAGATAACAAGGGTATCTACGTCCGCACTACTTCGCTGCTCCTTCCTCTTCCCACGCCGGATTTCAGTATGCCGTATAACGTTATTATCTTGACTAGTACGGTTATGGCGTTGGGCTTTGGCAACATCTTTAATTTACTTGTGAGGCGCTTTGTGGGTGTGGATGAAGTGCCTACTATGGGTGCTGGGGGGTTGAAGGGTATTATTATCCGGAAGGTAGCTAGACTTAAGGGCCTGCTGGGGATGGGCTGAGGATTCGTAGTACATGAAGTTTTTCAACGATGTACGCGGTGCTGTCGCAGGTGCATGTGACTTCAATCTGCATGAAAATTCAAGGTGATCACATATCACGAAGTGCATCAGATATACCAGCTTCCTCAAATCTATCAAATAAACACCTAGCTGAAGTCAGGCTGAAAGCCCGCAAGGTTGACAAGGTCGCAAGGCTGAGCTGATCCCCGCGCCGTCGACTCCAATGAGTGGACGCCATCTGCGGCAGGCTCACAGTTGGTCTGCGCCTTCTTCCAGAACCCCATCGTGTCGGCAGCTTCCAACCTTCACCTTCATCCGACCTTCCACTTCTGGGTCCGCCCGCCATGGCCGAAGTGGCCGGCACCATCGTTGGTTTTACGTCTCTTTCTATCACACTTTGCGAGAAGCTCTCAGAATATGTCAGCAGCGTGAAAGATGCGAAAAAGAAGGCTGTTCAGATCACCCGGGAACTGGACACACTGGAGAACATCCTCGAGTATCTAGACACTGTCGCGAGCAGAATAGACCTTACCCCATCTATTGCGTTGGTCAAAACTATGATTCAGCAATGCGCACTCTCCATAGAGTCGATTAGGAAAAGAGTCAGAGATGTCATGCCCGCCACGACGAAGTCCCGAAGCTTATCCACTCGGTCACGAAAAGTCATCAAGCGACTGTTGTACCCTTTCAAAGAAGGTGATATCAGGTATTGGAGAGAAGTTTTGAGCAGCATGCGACAAAATTTGCAGATAGCATTGCTTGCTGTGGAAATGTGATAGCTTCTCCAATGTGCGAATCAAAGGTACTCCAGCTAATCATTCCTAGGGATCGGTCGCAACGAAACTCCACGATCGTTCAGCTACAGCTCGGCCAGGTCTCGCTCACAATGCAAACGATACTCGACCAGCAGCGACGCGCTCAGGCTGCGCCTAGTTATCACTTCATCGGTCAGAGTCAGAGCCCAGGCGAACAATCATTCACCAGTCGAAGTCACCCAGCATCTATACAGCGACTCATTGGAGAACATGAGCGGATATCCACTCAAGATGCGTTCATCCGCCTTCAGTCGCAAAGCTTACTCGTAGCAAAAGGACGATATGCTCCTGTACCGTCGCAACGTTTACCCGTAGCAGAAGGACGATGGGATCCTTTCCGCCTGGAATCGGCAACGTCTGCTTTAGCAGAGGAAATCTCAACTTTTCGACATCTCACGCGAATATCACGACTCGTGCGATCCGGACTGGCGAGAAGATCGAGATGCACATGCCGCGAGGGCCGACTAGGAAAGCAAATTCCACAGCCGCCGCTCGCCTTTTCGCGTAACGAAGCGCACTACCATAATCCGAGTTGCCCAGTTTGGAAGCCTAGGGGCCACGATACAATATCCGAATTTGGAATGATACTTTGTTCCTTGATCCTCGGACTGAGATTCAGTTTCCTCTTGCGACTGCATTCTGGGAATGACACTTTCTCGATCATGCCAAGCTTATCAATCCGCCGGGTCGTCACAGTGGATTCTTCCCCGTCGTTCAAGTTGATTGAATCTGTAACTGATGGCAGATTTACCTGCAGATCCTCGGGGATCACCGAAGAGCTCTACTTGCTATTCGAAACTCGCCAAGCAACACCGCATGATCGTTTGAAGGACGGAGAAACACTGTTACATGTAAGCCCCAAGTTATATCTTCGGTTCATTTTGGCTACGCTAATTGATCAAAGTTCTTTTGCGAAAGAGTCTCAAGCATGGCGCTTTCGGCTATTGATGATGACCGCCTGGACTGTTACCGATCATTTCTCCAGCTATTCTTCGTAGGCATGACGTACGCGGACGCTGTAAGCAAAGATTATCGAGGAAGGTATGTTGTAAATGATCCAATGATTAGAGGAGCAATGACTAAATGCTACTAGGACATGGGTAGATCTCCTCCTACAGCGCGCAGCTATTGGGACCGAAAAGTATAATGTTTTGAAGGCGCTCGCGTCCGAGTTTGAAGATCATTACCCTGACGATTGGAAGGAGCCGGAGGGAACGGAGAAATGCGAGTAGTGTGATGATATAGCAAATGATAGTAGATTTTCTTGTTTCCACTCGGTGTATCTGCAAATTACCAGATTGCATGGATCTTTCTACGCGGGTTAGTCGAGGGAACATAGTCAATGGAAACATAGTACGCTTTTACGATGTCCACTGTTCCCCGGCAAGCTTCATGACGAACGTTCTGAAGACAAAAGTCTCCTCACCTGGGGTCCCATAAATCTGGCTGCAAGTCATAGACTAGCTCATACGCAAAGACTCCAGCAGATGTGAGTGGTTTTGGCCTGGATCGTAATGATGTAGCGGTGGTGAATTCTTCTTCTACAATGATCCAACACCATCCAGACCACTCTACACCTGGTCTTCACTGCGTCTCGCTCACATGATACCCACATTCTGCTTTGCACACGTGCACGTCAAGAAGCCAGCTACACAGCCCTCACGCTCCTTTCTCGATCGGTGATTCTACCAAACAGTGTACCTTTACCTACTACACGAAATCCTCCCTGCGGGTATACACCGTGCTACATTTCATGGACTAACATAGTACCACACTGTGTATACCCTTTAAAGCATAATATAGTAGCATCAGGCATCTCAGATTCCTCGAACATGTGATGATGCAAGCAGACAAACGAATCTCATTACAAAATGATACAAGCCTACAGTTCAGACCATCACACCAGCTCAAAGCTAAACGGGGGTATATCCACTACAAAAAAAGAAGACAAGCATCGCTCACGCACAACCACGCTCACCACATCTAGTGGAAAAGATCCTGAGCCGCCACAGCAGTCGCCTGCGCCTTAGCAGCCTCATTCGCCGCCGCCATAGCAGCAGAAAGATCATTATCAACCTTCTGCTGCGAAGAACTTCCAGGCCGGTTATTATCGCCCGTTCCCTCCCGTTCTCCCACTGCAGCTGCGGCGAGATGTTGCAGGCCGGCCATGTTGGGTTCTAGTGCGGGGCTGGCTTGTTCGGGACCGGTGTAAGGGGGAGTGGAGGATTTCTTCTTGTGAAGTAGATCGCCGATTGCTGTTTCCCAGCCTAGACCGTCGGAGCTGCGGTGTATGATCTGGCCGTTTGATAAAGCGTCGCTCATTTCTTTGATGGTTGCGCTTGCTTCTGTTTTTAGTTCGCCTCGGTCGTTCAGTTCGGTTAGGGATGTGGCGACTAGGGCAGCGAAGATGTGGTGCAAGGGAGTGATGGCGCCGCTCATGAGGTTACTGAACAGGTCTTTGGTGACTTCGAGGACCTCAGCAGAAGGCAGATTCTGACCTGAAAGTCGCGCAATGAATACTCGGAGGTACTGGTGCGCCAGATGAGGGGGCGAGTTACTCGTCAAGGTGGTCAGGTCGATGGATTGCTTGATTTCATCTAGTGCCCCGTTGAGGTACTCTGACTCCGTGGTTCCGGGTTTGAGCGCGGAAAAGGCGAAAGGAGCTGCTGGGTCAACATTTGGGATGCTTCCTGCGCGATTGACGTAGGCTATGCGGCCAACGAGTAGGGCAACACCTGATGAAGATTAGTCTCGGATAGTCATCAATGGAAAGAGCTTGCACTTACGAGCGAGATAATAAGCGACTTCACCCAGGGCTGAGTAATCGTCTCGCGAAAGTGTTCCAGAGTATCGTCGAATCATCATGTCCGTCGATTGACTAGACGCGTGGAAACGGTCTATGATCAACGCAGTCCAATATACGCGGCGAGCTGTCTGATACACTTCGAGATCTTGTTCTTTCAGTCCAGCCAATGTTCTAGCATCATTTATTCCGACGTCTGCAATGCACGCTGAGACACGGGCGAGCAGTCCAGTAGTACTGCCTATGATGCTTGGGCCAGGCCTGTCAGATGCTGCAGCAAGCAAGATCAGTGACTGGCAGTACACCAAGTGATTGTAGAACCGTCGTGAGCTATCCGTGTCATGAAGACAATAGTTCGCCGCGTCGACTGAAGTAAAGCACTGTTGTAACAGCTGATTAAGGCTGATATCGATAGGTGGCAGAGCCTTCGAGGCGATGGACCGGATACAGCCTTCTAGCACGAGGAAGAACGTCTCTCGCAGCTTCGACGGACAGTTTGTAAGGCGGTTCAGTTGTGACTCGTGATGAGGTAAGACAGGCAGCGTGGGATGAATAATGTTGTAATACCTGAGATATGGTTTAGTGCCCGGCAAAACTCACAAATGCGGGTATACGTACGCTTTGAGAATCTCTTCGTGAGAGCCTGTGATAAGACTGCCGCCCAAACTCATCTCTCCAAAAGAGGTACGACGGTTGCCATTGAGCGACGAGTCTTGATCACCCAGCACAGGCAGACCATGTGCGTCTACAGATCCACCATTACCGCGATCCTGTGCGGACCAGTTGGGCCGGCTGAATGCCTCGTGAAACCCGTCTGTCATGGAGTGAGTGCGCTGGCGCTTGAACTGCGGTGGGCTCTGAGTATCGGGAAACGGCTGATCACCCAACGTTCCGAAATCGAAGTTGTGCGACTGCGCCGGAGGATGGTGAATTTGGCTTTCGAGCGAATTAAGCCGATCTGCAAGTTCTTTGATATAACTGGAAAGTGTTAGCAAGCTCGCCAAACTGCACACAATCGACATACCCTTTGCTCGGGCCGCGCTTCATAGGCTGACGGCTGAACTGACAGCGGGCTCCAGTCCGTTTGCAGCTAGAACAGGCTTCTGGGCCGTTCTCGCTGGTCGCGTCGCATCGAATCTACCCAGCGTAAGCGCATATTGTGCAGGAAGGGAGGCATCGCATACCTTCTTCCTTCGGCATTCGTCGCAGGCGCGCGAGACTTTGGAACGTTTGCGATTCGGGTCGTTGGGATCGTACGGGTCGTGGTGTCCGTCCATATTCATGACATGTTGCGCCATTTGCTGTGGAGAATGCGTAGGGCGCGTTGGACCTGCAAAATGCGGATGCGCGCCCATTGCAGGCCCCATATGAGCCATCTGCTGGTACTGAGGCTGCTGGGGACCGACTGGGTGCATCATGTCTCCACCGTCGCGCAGCTGCTGTAGATTTTCCTGTAGGCGCAATTCGGGATCAGTCAACTGGTGTTGCTGCGCGGGTGGTGTACCATTCTGGTTCGCGTATTGGCCTGGCCCTCCTCCCATTTGCGTATCCGAGTCCCCGTAGCCAGCCATTTTTCAGCGCGTCGTATTCGAGATTGCAGGTAGAAATGACGTTGGTATTTATCCAGGGCACCGGTCCGGTATTGTTGCGCGATCGCGCGCGAGGTTCTGGCGTTGGAAAGCGAGAGGAGCGTGTTGTGTAAGAGGCCGCCGAGGAGAGTTGTGCGAGCTTTGCGATTTTTGCGCTAGCGTGAACCATGGCAAGAGAGAACAGGTCTTCATGGCCTTGGATGAATGGGAAAGTGACAACAACATTATGGTGGTTGTCGTTTTCCTAAGACATGGGAGATGTTATCTGCCTGCAGCGTGGATCGGAAGCTACTAACTGGTCGGTGACGACGTCGCTGTTGGATTATCTTTTCACCGTACGCGCTCCGGGCGGCCAGTGGGAGCACCATGCACAGCCATCATCAGAAATGCCCGCACACTGCAACCGATGATGAATAGCATTATGGACGTCAAGAGACTGCTGAATTAGCCATATTTTTCTGCTGCCTCTGTACTGTTGCTGCGCGATATTGACCTCGTCCTGTCTATCATGCGCTGATCCATAGGTGTTCAGATGATGGTTTTAGTGCCGACTTACCTGGGTCACCACACACTACGATGAGCTCGCCATAAAAAGTCCCCGGTGCACTTGGACACGTTGAGCAAGACGTTCAACAATTTCGAGCCATTGGTGGGTACGCGGTCTGGAGAATCACCGTATCATATGATATACGTACACCTGTTCACGGGTCACGATTATGTACAAGGCCAGTGCATACCGAATCCGAAATCGTTCAATGTCAGATGCTGTAATTACTCCGGCTCTCGTAGATTAGCGCTACCAGAGTTCCACGAGACGATCAACGACTTGACGGCTGGCTGCAGCGTCAAGCGTAAGATCACCAGGATCTCCTGTATAAGAGCGGTGCAATACACCGACAGAGTATACCCCACGGAGAAGCCATGGGGTCCCGTTTCAAAAACATTATGCCAACGCTGTGCCCAGTGGTCCCAAGGGCTAGACGCTCCGTTGGATCTAAATTCCATTTGTCCCACAAAAGGTCAAATTCGAGTCGACGGGCTAGCGCTCCCTGGGCCGGAGGATTCATGTGAGATATACAAGCGGGCACTGTACCTGAGAGTAATGGATAGGCTTGCTTCCGGTTCTATATGTGCTGGACGCTATCGACGCAGACAATAGTGATGATCTCCACTTGGCAACGGGCGACGGATGCTTCGAGTTACGGCCGTCGCGGTAAGGGAAACATGCTGACTCGACAAGCGAATCGCGTCCGCAATGAAACATGCCGTGCGTGGAGTCCCGCATGATTAGAGGCGGGCTGGCGAGGCCAGCGCAGCACAGGAGCAGGCTCCGTCGCAGGCGTCGTAGGCGTCCGGTGTGGATCGCGACGGCGGCGGGCTGGCGGATGGCAGGATTCATGCGGTGAGAAGGTGCTGCTGGCTCGCACCTGCACCTGCGCTTGCACTTGCATGCAAGTGTGGGATTCCTGCGCTAGCCCGAAGGAGCCGCCGTCATGATGGCTGATCGCGCTTGCTTCGAGCGTCGAGGTCTGAGCGCACTTGCCGATGACGCTAAGCCCCACAGCCAATTACACGCCGCGCAGGGCCGTGTGCGTTCCTCTTAACCTGTTCCTCCCGCTCGCTCTCTTCCCTCTCATCACTACCTCACCCGCACAACACCACATAGTATACTGGTCTGGTCGTTCCCAAGGAGCTCCGTCTAACGCTTTCGGCCAGCGCCTCTTGCGCTCGGTTCCCCTTTGATCTCCCACTCCACTCTCCACTCCATCCTGTCGTCCTCGGTCTCATTCCCCGGCGTTCACGGTTACAAGTCAGCATACCATACCATTGCCCAAGATACCCTCTGGCGTTTGAACTAGCTTCTCTTGAATCCTACTATTCTTCCCTGTATCTTTACCCACCCGCTCACACCGCGCGTGTGGCATTATTTCGTCATTTTTCGCCGCTTCTAGCCAGTTGGCTCCCTGGACCGCTTCTACCCAGCTGCTCGTAGCCAGCTGCGACGACCGCACTCGGCCGTTATCGCCCCGGTATGCCTGTTATCGATGGCGAGAAATGGGCTTGCTCGTCCTGCATCAAGGGCCACCGTGTGAGCGGTTGCAACCACACTGGTATGTCGCTCAGTGCGACGCTTCACAACCTTACAGTGCTAATTTCGTCTTGAAGATCGGGATCTCCACCACATCAACCCCAAGGGTCGTCCTGTCAAGCAATGCGAGCACTGTCGCGGTGCGCGCAAGTCCAAGTCTCATCACGCCAAGTGTGATTGTGGCGACAAGAAGGACAAGGACTTGCACAAAGACAAAGGCGACGCGAAGAGTGAGCTCACATCTGGCTTGGCCGTCCCCGACATCTCTGACGTTACTCTAGCTCATGACAACCGCTGCCAGTGCCATTCCGGCGGCAAGTGCTTGTGTGGCACCAAGAAGGAAGAGATCGATCTCAAGATCGACACTACCCGGCAGACGCTCCACGATGCTCGCGCGAAACCCAAGTTGACTGCGACGCACTCGGAGAGTCACTTGACCGTCTTCGCAAACGGCCACCACAAGCCTTGTCATCGCAACAACAATTCGGCCCACGTCTCTGGCCTTCCGTACAAGATTCCTCGTCCGCATACGCTCCACGGCCATGCCGCCTTTTCTGCTCTCTCGCAAGAGAAGAGTGCCCGCAGCAAGCCAGAACCGACCGCTACACGCTCCATGGACACGCTTTCGCTATCGAACAACGACTTCCACACCATGTTCGGCTCTACACAGCGCTGTGCCGACAAGTCGCCGACTCCCAACGTCGGCGGTAGCCTCGACACATTCGGTTTCAACGAGATGTTCAGCAGTCAGCCCGGCGTCTTTCAACAAGACGGCGAGTCTCCCAACAGCAACGTTAGCGACACGTTCTCGAATCAGTGGCCATGGATAGCCAACAGTGTAACACCCGTGAACAGTACGTTCGGTCTGGGCAGCCTGTCCACTTCGCCATCGCAAGATTGCCTTCCAAACATGGATAGCGACTGGTTGACAGCATCTGCTGGGTTCGACCACGTCTGGTCTGCTACTGATCTCCCGCTGGACCCTAGCAAGTTCAACGACGACTTGGCGCAGCCGATCTCACACAGCGGAGAGTCTAAATTGAGCGGTCCCGGCCTTACTGTAGCGTCGTCTGCGCACTCGGAAATTGGAGAGCCAGCTCTCTTCGGTGACTTGGACTTCAAAGCCCCTCAGTCGGCTGCCAGCGAGTCGCTCTTCTGGGAAGATACCCCTGCGTATCGCTTTAGCACTGCCGTACCGAGTGAATCCGTCAACGCGCCCATGCCAATGGCCACTACGGCACCCATGCCGAACATGCTTGGCTTCGATCCTATCTACGCCAAGAGCATGACTGCTGCGCCAGCAACTATGACGAGTACCGCCTCGCCTGACTTTGCCGACACAGCCGCCCTCTCGATGCCTAGCAATTTCGAAGATGTTGTTCCCATGGACCCATGGCCTATAGATCAGACCAACGGTGCTTTCAACGCGATGAACAACTTTGATCTATCTTATACCAACAGTGGTTGGTTTTAGACGCCTGCGAAGGGACAGCCAGCTCTCGCAGCTACTGTCGCTTTTGATGACGCCATGATTGATGACGCTGCTGGTGCGCGATGATACCAACGCCTAGGCGATCTCTATTCATATCTTCTTTTAGTCTTCATGACTACCCTTTTGACTATCGGTCGCCTGTGTATATTTTATGACCTGGCCCGAACCATTCGCTTGATGTGCGTTTGAGGCCGTTCTACATAGATCGCCGCCATCACTGTTTGTTGCATTTGAGTGTTGAACAAGCAAGCATACGTATATACAATGGGATGGATTTGGGTGGTGATTTCAATGCTTGGGCGGTTTGCCCGTGGGGGTTTCGCAAAAGTATAGACGGAGCCTTTGGCGTTCTGACGTCTGGCCCACAATGAAATAAGAAAGTAAAAACAATCCTACGTCTCCATCTGCTTCTCATCGTGAACTCTCACTGTCAACTCTCACTGTCAACTCTCACTGTCAATCGAGGCATCCCAACGGACCCCTCAAGCATCGCAGAGTGACGTCCTTGAGTCGCATCAGGGCGTGCCGCACGGCCGCAAGGTTCGTGTTATCCTCCTCCACCAATTAGCGTCTCTGCCAATCCAATTTTTTCAGGGTTCCCGCCTCGCCCACACGACGTATTCCTCAAGCGGCCAGATGAGACGCCCTGCATGCGAAGCGTGGAGCGCAGAGATTTTCGCTGACCTTCCAAGTTTCCTCTGATCGGTCGACAGGGATAGGCTATCTCCCAGCAAAACCGTGATTAACCTTTTGGACGCGCATGCTCTGTCAAGATCCCACGTTGGGGTCGTCCTGCACCAAAGGACGATGAGGTGCGTCGATGATCGGCGACAGATGTAACACCACTACGTCGTCTCACGGGATGCGCGACGAGAGCGCTACGCCAGCGCTCGCGGCGGCAGCGATTGAATCGACGTGATCACTCGCAATGCGACGCACTGCACAAGAGCATGTGCCGGGACGGCCTCGGTGGCATCCATCAACCACCTTGTCGTAGCTCCAGCTGGAGAGACGGCTCAGTGACCGCTCAGCGACCATCCGCACAGCGCGGCAAAGCCAGTCAATTAGCTAGGCGCACTGCACCGTCAGGAAAGCTAAATCAGCAGCATGACCACGAGCATGTCATCCCACTTACGAGAACTGCTTGCGGTCGCGGATGCGTTCACAATCCGGCGCCCGCTGCACAGCACAAACAAAGAGGAGGGTTTGTGTGTGTTGTGCATGCCAACGCCCAGTGCACAGCCTCCCTTTTACGCTTCTTTACGAACCGCCAGAGTGGGAGGTGTGCAGTGGGCGTTCTGGCGAACCAGATGCGGGTAAGCTGGGTGTGCTCACTCGTTTTCGTAATGGGGGCGGGTGCATACTTCCTCACGATAGTGCTAGTCAGCCGTTTCCATCGCCCCAACAGATAATAAAGAACAAAAGTTGTTGTAGCTATTGTTCGCGAGAACGGAGAGGCAGCTCAGCTTATTAACAATGGTCGCTCGAACCGAGCTTTCGTGATAATCACTCATCGCGAACTTGCAGCCGCAACAGTAGTATCCTCTCTTCCGCCTTCTTAACGAAGCGTTCCAATAGCGAAAATCACGCACGCACGCAATGCATCTATAGACTTTCGCATATGTAACCGCGGACAATCCCGCTTAGCGAACTGAACTTCCTTCTCGAGAGTCGCGGCATAGCGATATGTGAAGGTTGTATGGAATGTCTAGACGCCATGCGTCGCATCGCTTGCATCATGATACCTTTTCCCGCGGGTTTTCGGGCGTTCGCAGACTGCGTGGACTTTGCGGGGTCTGGTCGAAGAACAGCAGCTCATTGGCGCTAAGCAACCCCGTCCAGAATGTCAGAAGACGAGCGCGCTCTGTTGGACACCATCTTGAAGGTTCTGGTGGTTCTCAAATCAATGCAGACGTACGTCAGTCGACCTCAGGGACCCTTCCTTCAGACAAGGCAAGATCGTCGATCCCTGAATCCCCTACCTTCGGCATCGGCCGTCGGTACTGCTGTCTGTCTGCTGTCGCACCTGTCGCACACGCTCTCTATCGGACCTTTCGGCAGGACCCTGAAAAAGTGCCCTTGTCCTTGACCCTGTGGACTCTCTGACACCCGTTCAAAATGATGTCAACGTCTCGTGTTTGTCCTTCGCGTTCTTTGAACCGAGGCAGAGGCAAGCGAAGAGACAACGAGGTTCCACCGTTCCACCGACTTTTTCCCCTTTGGGTAATACAGCCAGTTGGATATCGCGATCGCCAACGCCGACAATGATTCAGTTTTTTGCGCGTTGGAGTTCGCGCGTGTCTGTATTGTGGGGGTTGTGGGGGTGCGGAATCATCTGCTTTTACAGTATCTATTGCGCTGCGGATCGAGTGCAGTTTACTGGTGAGAAGAAGAATGAGGCGGAACATGCCCGGGCAGCTGCCATCGCTGCGTTTCGCGTACAGTACCCAGGTAAGGGTAGTTCGCGATTGTGATTGCAAGTAACACGAGACACGACGTCATCGCCCGTTCAGCCCCATCACGTCCACGAGGTCGGTTGCTAATAACCGTCTCATTTCCGAGCGTAGACGTAGGGATCAGCTGTTGGTAAGCAAGTCCCCGGATATGCTGTGAACACTAGTTCAACGTTATGCTCCGGTGCTGAGGTGCAAGGTTCGGATGTAAGTCATCAATCACATGCACGGCGGAGATTTCCGCTTCACCCTGCATGCAGCTGTCGAGTCGATCGTTGGAATGTGACGGCCAAGCTTCCTTTTGGTTGCACGTTGCACGGCGGGATTGGTGGCGCGTTTACCGCGTGTAGGTGTCGCATGTATGGGACTGGCGGTGTCGATACTAGAAAAGTAGGTAAGCTGCATGGCGCAAACAAAGGGGTGTACGCTTGGTCTTGGTCGAGTATCGATGCATTGAAAGCGGTTTTACTGGCGGTGTGGTGTACTCAGTGTGCGCGTGTGTGTAGAAAAAGAAAAGGAGAATGATTTAGATGATGAGTGTCGTGGAGGTATCGATCAGAAGAAGTGACAATGCGCCTATGAGGAGAGCGATACGTATTGCCGTGAGGCAACGGCGAGCATCGAATGAAGGTTGTGCAAACAGTCAATAATGGCAAGTGTTTCCAAACGACCAATTCGAGAAGTCAACTGTCGAATATCAATACTATATTAGGGGAGAAAAAGCTCATCAATATTATACACAACACACACTGAACCACTTCATCCCTCCTCACACCTTATATAATGAAGACACTGAGTAGGTCTGCAGCCTACACCAGAACAGCAAACAAGCAAACAAGAAGACGTAGCGTCATGGTAGACCCATCGGTGTTTAGTTTTCTCATTGCTCGGCTCGCCTTCTCTTCACCCTAACCATCCCCCTCCACCTCCACTTCTTCATACCCACTCCCCCAATCAATCGGCTGATACCCACTGAATAAGCTATCCCCCAACTGGTACCCCGGTTTACTAAAGTACGTCGACATGCGCCCCATGAAAACGGGTGGTGTATCGTAGTCTTCGTCCGTGTAGTAGGAAGGCTCTTGAGGTATGGAAGTGTAGTTTGCTTGCGATGGCCAATAAGATGAATATGAGTTTTCCATGGGAAGAGGAGCAGGAGGAGGCGATGTTTGGGTTGCAGTGGTCGTGTAGGTGGGTTTTTGCGGGGGTGGAGAGGGGTTCGGTGTAGCGTGGCAGATGCATGTACATGGTGGATTTTCTGGAGTGGGTCTTGGTTGAAGTGGAGGACTCTGTTGTATTGTCGTGGGTTTCGGGGTCAGGGCGGGCTGTGATGATGGTGGCGATGGTGTGCTCTCGACTGATGCTGGAGATATCGTCTTCGTCGACACCGGCTTGCGGTCTGGCTCTATCACTGGCCCGGTGTCTGTCCTCTGATCTAACTTTTGCGACGACACCGTCTTCTCCGAATCGCCCACACCCGAGCTAAGAGCTGTCCACTGCGATATATACGAAGGTCGTCCCGGTTGCCTCATTTGCCCCTCAACAATCGTCTCCCCCAACAGCGAAATATCCGAGTTCGTCCTCGAATTCGTATAACTTAGACTCGTTGGCCGACTCGCTCGTTGTGAACTGATTGAGCTCGACCGCTTACTCCTATTCGTATCGCTCACTCCGCCATCCGATCGCATGCTAGTTTCCGAGAGTGGCCGCAAGAATGACACCGTTCTCGATCTCCTCAGTGCCTGTCGATCAAGCTTCTCTTCATCTTCAGTAGGCGCTGGCTTCTTCAGTTCCGGCTCTTTGTACTCCAGCTTGCCGTTCTTGTCGGATGCGAAGTATTCCTCGCCTCGGCCGAAGACGACTTGAAGGGACGCGAAGTCTCGTGTTGTGCCGTCGGTGGGGTAGAGCCAGTCTTTGAGTGCGGGAGGGAGATCGTAGCCATCTTTTTGGTTTTTAGCATGGAGCGTCCCCATCTATCAGATAACGTATGCGCACCTTGCCTAAATTCTCCTCCTTTTGTCTTCCAGCAAACGTAGTATCGCTCAAAGGCGCCGAATGCGCAGACTATCAGATCGTCCAGACTTTCGGGGTCGTTCGGGTCTTCTGGTATCTCTCCCAAGCGTTTGTATAGCCTTGTCGATGCATCCATGGTGGGTACTCAGTTAAGTGGAAAGAAGCCGTGTAGGAGTTGCGGATCAGTCCCGTACGGAAACGGCCACGGAGTGCGTTAGTCGACAAGATTAAGTAAGTGGACCAAATGCCACAGAGAAGTAAAAGATAACATGAAATGTAGGGCTTAGCCAAGTTCCAGTCGTTAGCAGTCAGTGTTAGGCATGCCTAGGTAGTTACCCCAGCTTTCAACGAGCAATCACTTTACCGCGCCACCTAGCATTACCATATTCTCCATCAAACAGTTCTCGCTACATGACGCCTTGTTATCGCGTGATCACTAGCGCTTGCGACATATTGTCAAAACGTGTCGGAAACCTGACGCACTTGCGATGGGTGAGTCGGTCGATGGTGGGTCGAGTTTCATAATTGCCGGTCCGCATGGACATGCAACGGGTGGATTAGCCGGCAGATCCGTCGTATGCGGTAAAGTTTAACATCAGATCGAATGTGGTGTTCGTTCAGCTCCGGATTTTGGATGTTGTGGGAATCAGTGTTGTGGAAGAGAGAAGGTGGTTTACCGACACTGAGCGAATTATGGGAGGTGGCATTGACGCCTAATCGATTTCGGGCATCAACACAGAACGTGATTACTCAACCGTGCACTACTTACCCTCGAAATAGATAATATGATGTTTGATGGAATCATCGTATTGATTTTGATCTTTCATCTTCGTGATGGTGTTCCAACGCTATATTACTTCGTCTTCCCACTCTCGTCCTCCAAGCCAACCAAGTCATCAATTTCCCTAAACAACGCCGACGTAGTCTTCCTTCCACCCGTTGTCGCCGCCCTGTCCCTACCCCTCCCACTCACAGAACTACCACCAGCGTGCCTACCCACTCCACTCGCACTCCCTCTCCCCTGACCCCCTCCAATCCTATTACTCATCCCCTGGTTCCCCTTCCCACTGGTCATAGTCCTCGCAAGAGACTGGCGACCCGATGCCGTAGTGGATGATCTAAGTGACGAACGAGACCCGGTGGCTCTGGAGGAGGATATCGATGAGAGTTCAGAGACAGAACGATCTCTCTGCCGGCGGTCGGGAGCGGATCTCTGCGTCGACTGCTGTGAAGTGGATCGTCGTGATGAGGGACTCGAGCTTGGGCTAGGAGTAGACCTGGACGGATTTGGTCGACGGGGTAGAGATATTACCGGTCTGACATTTGATGTAGATTGAGCTGCGGATATGGCTGGGTCTTCTCGGGTGGAGGGTGCGCGTTGGCGGGGAGGTGTTATCGGTCGTTGGATTGACGGATCGGATACAGACATTGTTGCTGCTGATGGCTGCGACCGCGTCGCCAGTGCTTTTGCTTGTTTCGCTTTGGAGACGGCGAGTGCTAGAGGGGCCGGTGTTGGTGAAGCTTGGGGCTGTGTACTGACTCCAGGCACGCTCAGTGACGCATCTTCATTGGAGTATACAGAAGACGTGTTACTGTTGGCACTCGATCCGCGTTCACTTGATCGGCGTCTAGCCTCAGGACTAGTCTTTTGCGCTGCTGCCATGGCTTCGAACTTCTGCGCCTGGGCTAGAGCTCGAGAGCCGCTGCTTCTGTTCAGCTTGGGTGTGGTTCGTCTCTCGCTGGAAGACGAGGATTGCTCTTCATGTGACGACGTGGAGTCTACCTTCTCAGGGGTGGTGCCTTGGATCTCATCAACCCGTATCGGTGGTGATTGAGCTTGTGCGACGTTTGCCTCGTTTGATGGACTTTTTGTCTCTTCACCGAACGTTGACTGAGCTTCAGCTGGCCAGGGTTCTGTTACAACAGGAGGCGTTGGGTTAGTACTTTGACCCATGCTGGATACCTCACCAGGCGCTTCCTCTTGTCCCATCGCTGTCCCCGAGGTCTTCTCTTCACCCCTTCCAACAGACTCATACGCCGGCGGCGGTGTCCTTGATCTAAAGACCAGACTCTCCACCACGGGCGGCGGATCCTCAAAGATAGACTTCGGTATCTTCATCGGCCTCCAATCCTCTTCCTTCCCCTCTCCTACTCCAGCACCAACCCCCGGCCTCACCTCCACCTTCTCCCCACCTAACGGCTTCTCAACCGGTGCATCCTCCTCCCTCTCAACAGCCCTCTTAGTAGTCTGATCCGCCATCCTCTCGTCCGCCTCTTTCTTCCACCTCTTCTCCTTACGACTGAGTTCGATCTCCAGTACCCTTGTACCAGGTGCAACCCTAGATTTGAGGCCGTCGTCATCGAGATCAAAGTACAAGCCCCATAGCCCGGGTGCTTGTTCAACCGCACACCACCCTTCCCAGCCATCGAATGTGAGCCGTCGGTCTTGACGCGTGCAATCGAATGGGCCTGTGAGATGCGGTTGTGCATCAGCTCTCACTCCGTATTTCGCTTCTCCCGTGTCTCTATCAACATACACCCAATTCATAATTGGCGCCACATCCGTAATCGTCGTGACAAGCCCTTCGTAACTCGTGTCCGGGTAAGGAAGGTAATACCCAGCATAAGCATGACCTAATGGGCTCCCATCTTCCGTCCCAGTATCGATCCAGAGCTTGCCATTTCTCAGTACGACTTGCCGGCCGTCGATTTCGCGGCTGCGATGTGAAGACTTGACGCACGTGGCGATGAGGTTGCAGCGGCGGGCACGGTGTTCTTCGCGCTTCTCTTTGGATTGCGATTGCCGGATCGCTTCTTGGGAGCCGAGGAGACCGGGGGCTACGATTGTGGCGATGAGGATTGAGAGGACCATTTTGCGTGTGCTGCATCATGGGGATGCGTTTGGGGGTGGAGGTTAGCATGGACATGCACCATGTTCGCTATCGCTTGCAGACGGGATTCGATATGGTCTATGCGCATTACCGTGGTTCCATAGAATCGGGATCGCTTGATAGCTCCGGTGGTCTGATGGTCGCTCGACTGAGAACAAGAGTGTCCGAGCTGAGACGGTCGCCCTGAGCTTCACCAGCCCCTGTGTGTTTCATCGTCACAGCCGCCCCGCCAGCAGGCATAGCTCATCCCCACAACATTCAAGCGACTGCGGTTGATCGTCTTGTCTGGACCCTTGATTCCCTTTCGGTAGTGAGGCTGGTACGAGACTCGGACGATGGCAGCGACTTTGAGACACAGGAGTGCCACAACAGCCGTTTCGAGCGTTCAGCGCGACATCGACTCATGGCAAAGGTGAATGGTATGTGTTGTTGTCGTATCTGATGGCGACTTTGTTTATAAGGCAGAGATATGGCACTTCATCAAGGCCAGTACAGTTGACCTGCATCTCATCCTCACCATCCACCATCGCCAATACCCAGCAACGGCCCGGCGCCTGTCCAGCTTGAACCACTTGTCTAATACCTAATATCGACTTCTTGTTAATCCAACCATCCATCAGAATGTCTACCCTGTAAGCAACACTGGTACGAAGGGTTTTACATGTGCTAACCTCAATCAGCGACTCCACCATCCGCCCAACAGCCTACGGCTCCGACACTGAGAGCGACGGACAAGCCTCCGGTGGCCGTAAGGTGTCTTCCACTTCCAAGGTTGGCCCTGTCCCATCCTCAGCCACACTCAACCGACCGGCCGGCAACATCATCAAGGGACCAGTGGACGACAACGGCAAGCCCAAGGATGCGGCGTTGCTCCTGGGTATCAAGCTAGATTTGGAGGCAGAGATTCACTTGACGGCAAGGATTCGTGGAGATATTACGATTGGATTGTACTGAGCTACTGGCATGGTGGACTACGGACAATTCTCGACGCGTCGCACGAAGATTCCAGGACATTGATTGGAAGACGCTTGGAGCGGCATCGCGAGAGCATAGGAAGACGTTTTCAGTCACGGGATTCATGGAAAAGGGTTGAAATCTGAACATATTGTTAGCGTTTGATGCATCAAAAGTAATCAATATGTGCAAGTTGAGGGTGTTGATCAGACTCATGCCCTGTCACAGGCAGTTATCACCATTGCCGTAGCTCGGTAGACCGTCGTGATAAATTGAATGTTCATCTTGTAAAAGGAGGTGGAGGTGATGGAGGAAGGCTTACCATAGAGGATAGCATCACGCTTGCAACATGAGTATAAGATCCTATGCAACTCATCAGTTGCTGTTGTATCTCATCTTCATAGTGCAACACAGTATAATGTGGATCAGACAGGACAATTCTCGTCGTCGCCGAAGCTTGGACATATGCTTGTCATTGATAAAGTCGTATCATCATTTCGAGGAAGGAGATAGGCGGCGAGCGTACCGATTGAAGTGAGGCAAGCACTGGTGGATCTGGGTAGCATGTTAGCAAAAGCTTCTGCCAGTGAGGAGAAAGCAAATGGTATGCATTGAAGTGGGATCAGTTGACATGAATGGATATTTTGATTTTAAGTCTTCACCGGGCGAACCCGTCGGACTCGTCATCAAGTGTTCATCATTTCCCGGAAGGAGAGCAAGAGGAGTGCGCTTACCTATGAGGATCTTACAGACTGTGGTAGAAGAACAGACTGATTGCGTTGTTAGCCGAAGCTCAGCGACGCTTGTATGATTGTGCGGTATTGGCGAGCGAGGTCAGTCGGCGAGGTTTCTGAGGCCTGCCATAATGAGCGTATCCGTCACGAATTGTCGGTGCCCAGTGCGGAATCATCATATGGTGTTCGAAGAAGGGTCGAGAGGGAGGAATCGTACCATTTGGGTCGTGGGATGATAGTGTCTACAACGCGCGAAATGTTAGCGAGAGCCAAAAGCGATGTTGAGAAGAGCAGTAAATGTAAAGGTCAAAATCAGAAACAGCCATTGTTTATCGGCACCGGCAGAAGCCTTGGTCGGTAATTTCCAGCGTGCCGTAGCACAATCTGATCATCATTGGACGAGGGGAGGTGGAGGGGAGATGTGCTTACCAGTGATATCGCAGAGCTGCGAAGCTACCTGTGGCAGTCATGAGCGCGAAAGCGCAATGCGCTTGTGATGTAGGTGTATATCAAGAAATTCTGAAGCCGGTTAGCTTGACGCTCTCGTCACAAAAGTCGAAGACAATATAATGAGCGCAGTCGCGATCAGACTGACGTGCAAAAGTTTGAGTTTCATTCCCCTAGAGGTCAAAGACTCTAATTTGTTTTTGGCTTTGTGAATCATCATGAAAGCGCAGGATGGAGGGTAGGGTACTTGTACTTACAAGAGTGAGCGCATGCTGTAAGCAGTGCTGTTAGTGCTGGCGGTTAGTCGTAGATCTTGTGCGCACAACAGCAAAGCTTGCTGTATCGTTGATGCGCCATTGCTGTGTGAAGCAGTAATGGTGTAGGAAGACAAGTTGTAGGCCGCTGAGAGAAAAGTTAAGCTATCGGAGGTCTCGCTAGTTTTTCCGCTCCACTAGCGCGTTGGTGACTAAGGCGAAGGTGGACCCCCAGCCTCATAGAGACACGGGCCTCAGTACTGAGAACATCGTAGAATCACATGGTGACAATTGAGTATGGCGCGGGGACATTGCGAATCATTTCAGTTCGCTCTGTGAATGTTTGGTGAAAACACTGATCGCATGTCTCTTGGTGCTCTATCCTTGATCTTTCCACCCATATTGACGCCAACCTGATATGCATGCCCTTCTCCGACTTGCGCCTTTACTATGACGCGTGAGAGACTATCATGGCGCGTAACTTGGGTATTTACATGAAGTCGTAAAAACTGGAACTCATGGAGTCTCGTGTATGGAAGCCCCTTCGCCTGTACATCCAACCTTCCTATGCAGAACACGTACTGGCAACGATGCGAACAAAAGTGGCGAAGCTGTTGTCTCTCATGAGGCAAAGATGCGAACGTTCAAGTCGACGCAGCCTGTCGCAATAACACAACGTATTCCTGCTTTGGCTGCTTCCTCTTCTTTCTTCTTACTGGCACCGTTGGTTGCGCCGTTGGTGGCATCTCCGTTGACTGGTACGTCCTTGATGACGTTGGGGGCCCACCGCATACAGCTTACGAAGTGCCCATGGGCGTCGGTAACAGTCTTGACGCATCGGCCTTCCTGCGTGAGGTCCCAGCATCGGATTGTCTTGTCGTCACTAGCCGATAGCAAGTACTTGCCGCCTGGGTGGAAGACCAGCGACCGTATCCAATTGTCATGGCCAGTAAGTGTTTTGATGAGTGTTCCCCGTCCGTCCCATATCTTTATGGTCTTGTCTCTTGATCCAGTCGCAACGTACTCGGCGGAGCTACTGAGTGGTGGTGGTTTCTTGAGTCCGGCAAGTGCTGCAAGGTTGGCGTACGATACTGGGGGCGCTATTGTGACGCATTCGATAACATGCTCATGGCCGAGGAATGTGCATTTAGGCTCTCCTGAGCTTGCGTCCCATAGCCGGGCAGTTTGGTCGTTTCCTGCAGATAAGAGCCATCGTCCGTCAAAGCTAGGGGCTACGTCTCGTACCCAGTCGGCGTGCCCGCGTATCGTCTTGACGCAGTATCCCGTTGTGACGTCCCAGATGCGCAGTGTCTTGTCTCGAGATGCAGAGACTAGTAGGTTGCCCGACGATGGAGATCCGGCGGCCCCACTAGGAACAAATCGAATCGCAGAGACGGAGTGGTCGTGCCCGGGAAGCGTCCTGATGTTCTTGTATTCGTCCGAAGGATCCCACAGCTTGATGGTCAAGTCGCTTGAGCACGAAGCCAGCAGTGTGCCACCTCTTGGACCACCAAAATCGACATCCAGCACTCCTTTTGTGTGTCCCTTCACCGTCCTTTCAAGCTCGCCTAATTCCCAATCCCAGATCTTGATGGTAGTGTCTTCCGAGCCTGAAGCGAGTGACGAGAATACGGGGTGGAAGGCGACGCAGGTTATGGGCGAGCGATGTGATTGGAGGGTGTGTCGTGCTGGGGCCCGTGGTAGCCAGGCGGTGGGGTCTTGGTTCCTCCTGATAAGTGAGGTCGGCGTTGTGGAGTCGAGCTCGCTCTGGAGGCTCTGGTTGCGTTGCTCGAGTTCCAGAACCTGAAGAGGGTAAGCATATGATTTCGGTGTAGGTATTGACGCCCAAGTACCTTCTTCTGTAACCGCACTACACTGGTCCACTTCTTCTCCAGCAGCCCCTCGTACTTTTTCCGCGTGGCATCGTCGAAACTCTCGGCTATGTTGGCTTCTTCCCGGAACGCTTCCGCCGTCTTTGGCGCGTTTATAACGCCCAGATATGCGATTATGGCCTTGTGCCTGGCTCGTCGTCAGTCATGGCTCTCGAGTCACTTGCTGTCTGCAATGCTCACAGCTCTTCCGCTTGCCGGTCTGTCAATATCGCGCTCATGGCGGAATGGCTAGGTCATACGCGATTGACACTAGACGGGACCATGCACTATCGCGACGTGGTGCGTAGTCGTGTGCGGTCGAGGTGGAGGTTTTTGGTGGGCGCGGGGAATTGCGGTGAGCGGAGGATGTCTGCAGGGGTGGGGTATCTTGGGCGCGAATTAGAGGTAGCGAAATGGCGACGGCGGGAGGATAGCGATTGTCTCGAAGCAATAATGCGGGCGTGTGTTGGAGGTGACGTGTGTGCTGGACGATGTAGGTGGGTTGGGCATTCATGTGGTGCAGGGATCTGTTTAGGAAGGAACACTGCTGTTCGCCCGGACAACGAGCCCTGGAGCGCCCGCCAAAACATACTTGCACTTTCTACATCATCACCTCACACCATACTCGACCCCTCACACTCCGCTGTTATCGCTATCCGAGACTTTGCGATCCAATAGCCTCACAAAAAGCAATCGACAACATTGTCTACTGACATCATCTGGTACGTCTCCGCCGCTCCTACCTCCTGCATCAGTCATGGTCCACTGCACGCGCGCCTATTCGCGCGCATATCACTGTTGTCTACACAGTGTTTGGACTGTTGCGCCACTTTCTATAAGGCCTTTTGACCTTCCAGAACTCCGCGACTTACTCTTTATTAGCTTTTCTGGTTTCTTAGAAGACCCCGCATTACATCCATCACATTCCATAACAGGCCATGGCCGACGCCGCGGAGGAAGATTTCAGTTCTCTGCCGCTTCCGGATCGCTTCGTACACAAGGTCTGGAAGGTGCGGAAAGAAGCATACGAGGCCGCTGCCAAAGAGTTCGGTCTCGCCGCCAGTGAATCAGACCCCATTGTGCGCCAGTTCATAAACGATGCGAGCGTATGGAAAGGTGTTGCGGGCGACTCCAACGTCGCGGCACAACAAGAAGGTCTCGGCGCACTGTGCGCCTTCCTCGAGATAGCAGGAAGGGAGGGCTGCGTACGGTAAGTACTTTGCAAAACTTTGCGCGGCGCATTACTAACGCATCGTTCAGGTCACGCGGAAACACCATCACAGTCATCGCCGAAAAGGGCCTACCCTCGACACGACCGGCAGCGAAGGCAAAGGCGCTGGAAGCGCTCATGCTATACATCGAGACCGACAAGCCCGACCCCGTAATCGAAGAGCTCCTACCAGTACTAGGGAACAAGCAACCCAAAGTCATCGCCGCGACTTTAGACGCCCTTACACAGATTTACCATGCCTACGGCTGCAAAACCATCGAGCCCAAGCCCGTCCTCAAGGCGCTTCCGAAATGTTACGGCCATGCGGACAAGAACGTTCGCGCCAAGGCGCAGGAGTTGACAGTCGAACTTTACCGATGGCTAAAAGAGGCCATGAAGCCGCTCTTCTGGAACGATCTGAAGCCTGTCCAACAGCAAGATCTCGACAAGCTGTTTGAAAAGGTCAAGGAAGAGCCCTCGCCAA